CAACAACAACAACAACAACAACAACAACAACAACAACAACAACAACACAACGACAACGACAACAACAACAACGACAACAATGACAACAACAACAACAAACAACAACAACCAACAACCAACAACCAACAACAACAACAACCAACAACCAACAACAACAACAACAACAACAATCAACAACAACAACATAATAACCCTGTTGTTTCCTAGCCAAGGTGGCTAATCGTGGAAGTCACGAGCGACTTCGCGAATGAGGGAAGGCGCCCCCACGAGCATAGTGAGACATCCTCATTGCACTGTGTTTGGACTGTTGCAAGCAAGATATCCTTCCTTAAGGCCAAGGCCGTGTCTTTGTTAAGGCCTTCTGTTGGCTGTACTCGTCGATGTTGTCGCCGATTTCAATTTGGTAACTAAACTTGTTTGTGTCTACTCCTGGTACCAGTTGGAAGACGAATGGAATTGAACAATGAATGGAGGACTGGGAGATCACACTGCAGTCGTTGTTTTAAAAAAATAAACAGTTCGTAGCAGAGATGTTTCCCCATGTTCAGAGCGGATGTTGTTGGTCAAGGGCGGCAGAACGTCCTTGATGGTTAAAGAATGCCAAGGGCCTTTTGGCATCTTAAACCCTTATATTTGCTGATCATGCCAGGTCGTTTGGGAGTTCAATGTAGGCATATATTATAATATATTATATGATCATTATGCCAATGTATTGAATTTTTTCCCCAAAAAAGGGCATATGGCAACAGGGAAACCAATCCAGCCAGGCCCGTGCAAGCACCCGCGCCTCTCTCTCCATCAGCTGAGGCAGCCTTGGGGTGCCGAACCGAACGAAAGTCTGTCTGCGTGTGTGTCTCTCTTTCTCTCTCGTTCTCTCTATCGGGCTCTGTCTCTCGTTGAAGGAAATCACCCCCCCTTCAAACCAACATCTCTGAAATATACCACATGCGAAAGCGCCGAGGGGATGGGGATCCACGAAAACGTCGTTCATGGATCCGCAGGCAGAAATAGAAGTCTAGAGTCTATCCTATTACTTGTACCAATGCAATGGATGATGAGAATTGTCTACTGACTGTTACAGGTAATAGGACAGACCCAATCTATAGTGTTTTTCATAGATGGCACAGGTAGGTACCCCAAGATGTCTTTTAGATGGGGGTCCATATTTGAATCACCGTTTGGGGATTGTGCAATGTCATTGTAAGTCAAGTCATTGAGACTGTATGTCTTCCAACTGTGGAGAAACTCTGTTTGTTAAATCCGTGGTGCGTAAAACAAGCCTGAAGGCAAACATTTTGCACATTTGGAAGATCTGTGTGTGTTTACTTGAGGGATTCCGTCATAACATACAGAACTTGGTTCACCAGCATCTTTTCTGGTACTCTTGTGGAACAAGTGCGTCGTTTTCCACCTGCAGTCTCAACATCTACACACAAAATTCCTGCTGAATTTGGTCGCTGTTGGCTGCATGAATTAAAAATAGGAAACAATCGGTCAAATAAAGAAAGTAATTAAGAACATTTGTCAACCAATGTCAACCAAATGTGGAGTCTCAAAGTACCTCAGAAAATGGGTACAAGTACAAGTATACCTGTCTATTTTTGTTCAACATGTCATGTCCCATGTTCTAGGGTACTTACTTGAAGCCGGGTCCAGGTGTGTCTTCCTTTGGCACCCCCACATGCGGCATCCTGCGACCGACTCCTCCTGCCGTTTCCATCCGTTTCCGTCTTGAGCCGCCCCACGTGCGTTCTCCGTGTCCGGCCTTCGGAAGGCCGACACGACACACGGACGGGAGACAAGGATGAAACCGTGAAGCGGAAGATGAAGGACGAAATACCCGTGAAACCCTCAAAGCCACTGGAAACCACGTGAAAGGACCAAGTAGGAAATGAACAATTTGGTTCCTTTGGATCCTGCGACACCTCCAGCTGCCTCCAGTGGCGAAAACCATGTTCGGACGAGGATTCGCCCACGAGGAATTGAAACTCCAGTTGTCACCCTCCTGTATACGTATATAAGTTATATAAGGGAATCCAACCAATATTATTGGTGAAATGATATACTTCTACGCACCAAACCGTGGACGACGATCACGCGTCCCTTGCCTTCTTCTTTTGTCACCCAACACTTTTGCGATGCCGCCGATTCGCTTCTTCGAAGAACCATTCGGCGGCTAGACGCTCTGAAGGCTTTGTCTGGTCAGAGCAAAGCTTTTTGTCCCATGGAGGGGAACAATGGATGGAAATTCATATCTCTATATTTGTTTGGGTATATATGTTTCTTCAAATCACCAATCATTGGTGTTCACAGATCTTGTCAGTGTTTTCACTACACAGTGCATGCATCATCAAAGCTTTGAAAGTAAACATACCGTCACTGTCGCCGAAAAAGAACGAAGTCTCGTAGCTTTGGAGGTTGAAAACTCCTGGTCGACAAAGCCTTGGGTTTCGTGGGGTTGACCTTTGCATCCCGCACCTGAAACCTGAGAATTGCACCACTTCTCGGTTTCACCCTGCCCTCATTGCCCCGAGGACTTTTGATTTCTCTCGGCCGGATTTGTCTTCTTTTTTTCCGGTAACATCTACCACCCTAATTAGGGCTCCAAATACCTTCTGAGAAGGTGTTTGGGGTGGGTGCCAGGAGGGTCCAAATACCTTCTGAGGAGGTCCTTGGAGCCCTAGGGGATATGTATTGGATGATACCATCGGGGTCCACCGACCGAGCGCTGAAGCAGTTCACCACCGATGGCGCGCTGGGCCCCAGCGCTCGGCCCCGACTCTTAAAAACGCTAAAACACCCACTCTACGCCTTCTAGATGTCATATCATATTATGTTAAGACATTTACAATATACTACATCTTTAAAATACATACAGTAATTGCATATTGTCTGATGCATGTGTTGCATCTGTTTGTTGTTCTTACATGTTCTATTTTGATATTGCATAACCCCTCTGGGTGAAGGCATCTCAGATCTGACACACCTGTCAGCCTGTCAGACGGCAGACGTGCGTGAGATCGATCTGAGAATCGATTCTCATCGTCCAAAGTCGTAGCCTTCCCAACCTCGGCGAGAGAACAAAGGATGAGAAGGCAGTGAAGACCGAAAACAACCCAAGCAGCGTGACCATCAGAAAGGATAGAGCTTCCACGGCCATGTCGAAATAGGTTCTAGAGCTTCCTATGTCGAAATGCAGGGGGAGTCTTATGGTTCTTGGTTCCCAGAAGTTCCTTCATCTTCTGTGTTACTTCGTTTTCAATCTGTTGTCACGTCACCGAGATCATAAAAGACCTGGCTGGTGAGAACTGATGTCACAAGTCTTCACCAGGTCTTCAGAGCTTGACTATCCCATATAGTACCTCAGGTGACGGGTCCTATTTACAGGCACTTCACCTCTGTTGGCAGGTCTTCTCTGATGTCACAAGTTCTCACAAGAACGGTGACAACTCCAGCAGTTGTCTCCACGCTTTTCGGACGGACCACTCCCTAGGCTCATGCGAATTGTCTCGGCAATGGAGTTTTCATCCCTGGCACCCGAAGACCAAGCCAGCCCGTTTTGGAGGTTTCATGTCTGTAGTGGAGTAACCGAACTGAGCCAGACTAGTCATGCTGAACTACAAATGAACACGTCTAGAGTTGGCTTGTGATTCACTGGCTCCAGATGCTCGAACGTCATGCTTTTGGAGTACCTATGAGTCGACTAGCCTCGCTTCCAAAAACACACGCTGCAAACGACTCGACTCGACTCGACAGGGCCAGCGACTCAGACGGACTTTTTTTCAATCATAGCATGGACACACTGGCAGACAGGACACACGGGCTAAGGGAGCATCAACGGAGCCTCCGTTGTTTTGGAGTACAAAGCTATAACTCAAAACAAAACAAAGATAAGATATGTTTGAGCCGGATCTCGTTTTTCTGTATGTGCTGCGTCTCTCTAACAAAATCCGGATCTCCACTGGTGGTAGCCCAAATCGAAAAAGCAGTGGCGCGTCGTATCTCCTGCGGTTAGGTGGGTTGGTCCTCATGTTTGGAGGGTGCTCTTCATGGAATGCAATGGTTTGCATTCCATTCTTACTTCCTTCCTACTGAAAAAACAAACAACGAAGATTTCCATGCAAGCACCCAGATGTCGCAAAAGAATTGGACAGTCCCACGGAGGACCAACCCGTTGTGGACACCAACTCTCTCGTCTTCGGGACGACTCCAAGTGACTCCTCCATCGGGGCACCCGCTTCCTGGAAGGGCAGTAACCAGAACACGTGAAGAGCGAGAACATCCCAACAGAAACCAATGAAAGCCCGCTTGAAAGCCATATTATGAGTCAGTCACGTCACCCCGGGTCCAATCATCCGAAACCAGTATACGGGTTGAACATAAACACCTGGACCCGACTTCAAGTACCGAACATTTTTTCATGACCCCATAAAAATAGGTACGACCGTAGCCATTTTCCGAGGGACTTTGAGACTCCAGGTACATCTTCAACGGAACTCATTTCACTCTAAACAAAAATCATCTACCAGCACCTTCATGTCGGGGTCACCAATGGAAGCCCCAACTCACCACTAAGGGACCTCCAGACAGGACACCGGTCCAGGTATAATATTCTTATTCAACCAAAATAAGAAAAGCACTCCTACATCTGCCGCTTGAAAAAGAACTTGAACAACAACTTCCTCACTCAGGGACGACCCACCGGACTGCTGCTTGCAAACGAGGAGTCTCAGGCGTTCCGCGAAAGCGCTCCGCGTAGCCTGGCGGCAGCTCCGGCACGCTGCCGCGGCGAGTGAGCTCGTCGTCGAGGGCCAGCAGCAACGCGCAGGAGAGGCCGGGGATGGCTTCGAGATGAGCATAATGTCCAGCCTGCTTTGACTGGATCGGACGAATGAGGAGACCTGGAAGGAAGTCAAACGCCCCATGGAGTGAATGTCTTCCGGACGCCCAATGCAATCCATGTATTAAAAACCATGCTAGAAACCCCAAGGGTTGGGGAAAGATGCAAGTCCCATGGAGTGTCTGGGTAGTCGACCAGGTCCAGCAACTGAAGGATTTTTTTACTATCACTCACATAAAGAACCTGGTTACCTGGAGGGGGCAATGACTTTGCTGCATGCATGAGGGTCTCTGGTACCCTCTCGGGATCAAAGGGTGACATGGTGCAGGGTGTGTGCACTTGTGATCACTATGGTGAAATGGAAGATGTTTAGTATTTCCATGCATATCCATGTTCACCTGGGAAGCAAAGCGTGCCACACGTTGTTCATGTCTTACCACTGTTTGACTGGGTTGTACCACGCAATGTGCCAGATCGTCACGTGAATCAGCTTCTGACTTTGGTTTTTACATATTTGTTGGACCCACCTTTGTGACTCACCACCTTCGAAGGTGGAGCGAATGCTGACATCCCTAGCAATAACCAAAACAACGTGCCGATCGGGTGGTGCGGCGCTCCCTCCAATGATGTAAAACAGCATGGAATTCAAGGATCAGATCTGTTTTTCGTTGGTGCATGCAGTATGTGGACAAGGTCTTTGTGCTGAAGACACGAAATACCAACTCCAACGGAAAACAACAAAGACGAAGCATTAGGTTCTTCGCATATATCATACCATACACTCCCGGCATATCAAATATAGCATGTCATTAATAACATACACAATAACAAAACAAAACCATTCCCACCACCCACCCCACCCCATCTTAAACACCAGACTAATCGATGACAAGTTTTATGACACCAATGACAAATTCCATGATGCCGATGACAAGTTCTATGATACCGATGACGAGTTCTAGGATACCCAGGACAAGTTCTTTGATACCCATGGCAAGTTAGTTGAAACCAAATAACAATGGTACCTATGGCCTATGACAGCATAACATAGCATAACCACCCACACTCCCTGCCCCCAGACAAATGGCTCACGCAAAATCATAAAACCCTGCGTGCACCAGCAAAAAAAGCTCCAAACACCCAACTTCCATGGGGATTTAACATCTGTACTGCGCGCCAAACCATCTGATTGGACCCAATAACAAATTCATCCCACAACTCAATCAAATTATGACTTCCGCCAAACATTCAAATTAAAATGTACGTGATGGTCATTGATTCTATCAAGAGGTGCCACCCTGCTGGGCTGGAATGGATTTCAATGAAGGATAGGCCGGGAGGTGTTCGGGGAGGCAAATCTACAAGACCATCCCCTATCAAGGTTTCCTGCAACCTTATAGTGTAATTATATCTATCACCAAAACGGTCTAACGTAGGAAACCAAGTTCCTGTGCTTGTGGGTCTTGGGGAAACGACATTAGGTCGGTAGTTCATGCTGGACCTGGAATCCAATTGAATCAGTCTGGGAGCGAAACGACCCAGATTTGTTGATCCGAAACAGCTGTGGCCGCCAAACATCTCACAGAATCTTGGATTTTGCTTAATAAGGAGCCCAAAACAACATATTCCCGCAGAAGGAAATTTACCCATCACCTAAAGCAAAAGCTGGCCATTTTGGCAGAACAAGGCCGTTCTTTCAAATCCGCCAGCAACCTCGCCCAGCCTCTTCTACCAGTTGCACCGCCACGCAGGGAAGTGCTACTTCTTCCACAGACGCGGTGGCCACGCGGTTGCCGTGGCGACAGTCCATCCAGTCACGCTCACCGTAAATGAGCTCTATCCGGGGTACCTGGCGATGCCCAAGGCCAAACAGGATGGTACCGGGGACTTGGTGAAGAACGCTGCGCTCCATCTTCTGGATTTGT